TCAGCTGTGGGCTCCGCCCTTAGGCCTGAGGCCCCGCCTCTGGTTCAGGTGTCAGCTTCCCCGTCCCTTCGCCGGCCGGGCTCCTGCAGTTGCTGTCCTGGTGCCCCCGTGGCTCCTGGTGCCCCTTAAGGCTCCTCCTCGCTCTCGGCCCCGCCCCGTCTGAGGACTGACTGGCCTCTGCTGTGTGGGCCGCCCCTCAGCCCCTGCAGGGGTGGATGAGGGTCGGGTTGGCCCAAATCCTTTTAGATGCTGAGAAGCCGCCAGGAGTAGCTCTCAGAATGAAGGGGCCTTGTGGCAATGTCATCCGGACCTATATACCCTCCTTGGGGACTCAGGAGTCCAGCCCAGTTGAGCCCCTGGCAGCGTCTTGGACCTGTCACCTGGGCTTGACAAAGTAGTTCTTGTTGTGGAGGTGGGAGGGGGTCGTCAGAGAAGGGAGGAAAAGAACTTGGATCCCACTAATTGTGACCTCAGTCCTCAGCACCTGCTGTGCTTCCGCAGCCCTCTCCCCCGGTGAGAACACCCTGGACCCATCCTCTCTCCTGGGACAGGGTCAGAGGCAGTAATTTGGGCACCCTGGGGTCTGGCTGCAGGTGCACAACACAACCAATCTGATTCCTTCCCCAAACCACTTCAGATTATTTAATGTACTGTGGCCAAATGTAGGGCTCCTCCCCTCTCAAAATTTTTTTTCTTAATCCTTACCTGAGGATATTTTTTCCATTGCTTTTCAGTGAGAGTAGAAGGGGGGGAGGAGAGAGAAACATCCAAGGGAGAAAGACACATGGATTGGTTGCCTCCCGTACAGTCCCTGACCAGGGCAACCAAGGTACCAGAGTATGTGAATCGAGCCTGGGACCGAAATTTCAGTCCTCAGGCTGATTCTCTAACCACTGAGCAAAACTGGCAGGGCTGAAGAGAAAGTTCTTAATCACAGATCTATCTACAGCCACTCTGAGTTATCTGTGTGGTCATCCTCGATGGGCCCATGCAGCCCACAGAGGGGCTCTACCTTCAGGGGCTTCCACCTCTGGACTCTTGTGGGCCTGAGTTTGTGACTCAGTTCTGAAGCTGACGCACTGCAAGCAAGTCCTAATCTTTCTGAGCTCAATTTCTTCCACCGAAGGGTAGTAATCCTCACACACCAGAAAGAGGCCAATTCTGGTCTCTGCGGAGTCTCATTCTCTTTAGGACCATTTTGGTTGCAAGTTGAAAACCCATTCACATGAGTGTAAGCTAAAATAAGAATTTTTTTACAAGGTTCTTGTATGTATTATGGCTACAAAAGGCAAGGGTGAAATCAGGTTTCAGGAACAGACGAAACTGTGGGGAGCCCAGGATGTGCACGGGCTCTGCACATGTTTTTATTCTGAAGCCTGGTTTCAGCCTGTGCATGTTCATGTACAGTAGTCTCTTGGGAAAAAAGAAAGCTTTAAAAAAAAATTGATTTCAGATAGAAACGTCAATGATGAGAGAGAACGACTAATCTGCCCCTTGCACATCCCCTACTGGGCATCGAGCCCGAAACCATATGCCCTTGCCCGGGAATCTAACCCGAGACCCTTTGGTGCACAGATCAACACTCTTAACTGCTTAGCCACGCCAACCAGGGTGAAAACAGTTTCTTATAGCTCCTGAATTACCGTCCAAGGGAAGGGTCTGACAGGACCAGCTTGGGCCCGTGGCTTATGGCCAGGCGGTGTAGCCACATTGAGGAACATGGTTACCCTGATTGTAACCATGTGGATGGTAGGGAAGGGTCAGTTCTTACAAGCAGCAGGGGAGATGCTATGGGTCATGCAACCTCCAGCATGATGCAGGCGATGTGGAGGGGATGTTGACAGTAATGAAAGTGCATCTTCAGCAGAAGCTGGACCTATGGCTTTAGTGAGCTGGGACCTTCACCTGCTGCATCTGTCCCCAAAAAGACATGATAAGGTTGGTTGTCAGTGGAAAGCAGGCTGCAGATTTGGGAGGGCTGGGGAGGCTCTACGTTCTTGAGCTGGGTTTGGGATCCAGGACCGTGAAGAGAAGCAATGCACACATCAGATGTGCTGGGCCTCTCATGGGTGAATTAGAGAGGCGATCCTCAAATTGGAGACCACAAGTGGCAATATAGCCAGAGCAGTGATGAGGGTGGAAGTCACTGAGAAGCCATAGAGAGGAAGACAGGTTGGGGGTGGGCCTGCGCATCCCAGTAATAGGTTTGGGTGTTTCCCTGTGGGAAATGGAGAACCAGTGTGAACTTATGAGCAGAGTGATGCCCTATAGACAGTTGAGTGAAGAAGAAGCCTTTGGCTGCAATGTGGAGAAGGGGATGGAACAGGGTAGGTTGGGAGACAAGTGACTGAGCTGCCTTGTGGGTCACCAAGCAGAGAGGGATAGCAGTGAAGGGTCAGGAGGCGGAGGCACCCCAGCCTCTCCTCCTGGGCCCTCTCACAGGCAGAATGTGAGTCTCAGGCCCCACCCCTACTGACAGTAGGAACCTCACAGTTCTCCAAGGTGCTGGCTGTTTGCCTGGGACCCTCCTTCTGCCCAAGGACGACTTGCGAATGCTGGGGACTCTTGGAGATGTCATGCCCAGCGTGGCCAAACCTGGATTTGTCCAAGCTCACCTCCCTTGGGCCTGCAGACTGGGCGAGGT